TAAGCGGTATTATTGAACCAAACAAAACAACAAGCGGTGAAACCAAATACGGATAAAGCCCCTAAACTATAAGATAAATAAGCTTCACCAGACCAGACAAGTGCGCGGCGGGCCCATGCAAAGGGCTTAGTTAAGATATGCCAGATTCCACCAAGTATACAAATTGAACCTAACCATACATGCCCTCCAATTATATCTTCTAAATCGTCTACACTAACAATCCATCCGTCCCCACCAAAAGGAGATTTCAGTAAATAACCAAATATAATACCTGGACTCAGGGTCAAGCTGGTAATTTTTCTTAAATCTCCCCCTCCCGGGGCCCAGGTATCATATACACCTCCAAAATAAAGCGCCTTTAACACTAAAAGAAAAGCACCTATACCTAATAAGATTAAGTGAATACCTAAAATTGTGGTCATTTTATTTCGATCTTTCCATACATAACCAAAGAAAGGAAAAGATTCTTCAAGCGTCTCAGGTCCCAGAAGTGCATGATAAATACCGCCAAAGCCTAATATGGCAGATGAAATTAAATGAAGTACTCCAGAAACAAAGTAAGGAAAGGTGTCTAGAACTTCCCCGCCGGGCCCTACCCCCCAACCTAGAGTAGCTAGGTGTGGAAGTAAAATTAATCCTTGTTCATACATAGGCTTCTCTGGTCCGAAATGAGCTACTTCAAATAAATTCATTGCTCCAGCCCAAAATACTATTAATCCAGCATGGGCTACATGGGCCCCCAGTAGTTTACCGGATAAATTTATAAGTCGGGCATTCCCCGCCCACCAAGCGAAACCCGTGGTTTCTTGATCCCGACCAGTAAAGTCTAAAGTTCGATTAAAGAGCGTTTCCACGTGGTAGAACCTCCTCAGGGAATATAAGGTTTTCATGAGGCTGATCTTGAGCGGCCATCCAAGCACGAATACCTTCATTTAATAGAATATTTTTTGTGTAGAAAGTTTCAAATTCGGGATCTTCTGCTGCCCTAATTTCTTGAGAAACAAAATCATAGGCACGTAGGTTCAGGGCTAGGCCAACTACTCCCAGAGAACTCATCCATAAACCGGTTACGGGTACAAATAACATAAAGAAATGTAACCAACGTTTATTTGAAAAAGCAACCCCGAATATTTGGGACCAAAATCTATTAGCAGTAACCATTGAATAAGTTTCTTCAGATTGAGTTGGGTTAAAAGCGCGAAATGTATTTGCGCCATCGCCGTCTTCAAATAAAGTATTTTCCACGGTAGCACCATGAATAGCACATAGCAAGGCAGCGCCTAGTACACCGGCAACTCCCATCATATGAAAAGGGTTCAATGTCCAATTATGAAACCCTTGAAAAAACAGGATGAATCTGAATATAGCTGCTACACCAAAACTCGGTGCAAAGAACCAACCAGACTGACCTAATGGATAAATCAAGAATACAGAAACAAAAACAGCAATTGGAGCAGAAAATGCGATCGCGTTATAAGGTCGCAATTGAACGGATCGGGCAAGCTCAAATTGGCGTAACATGAAACCTATTAGTCCGAAAGCTCCGTGGAGAGCAACAAAAGTCCACAAACCTCCTAATTGACACCAACGAGTAAAATCTCCTTGCGCTTCAGGACCCCATAGTAACAACAAAGAATGGGCTAAACTATTAGCAGGAGTAGAAACTGCGGCAGTTAAGAAATTACACCCTTCTAAATAGGAACTAGCCAATCCATGGGTATACCATGAAGTTACAAAGGTTTGTACCTGTGAACCAACCGCCTATAGCGAAATAGGCACAAGGAAAGAGCAATAAGCCGGACCAACCGACAAAAATGAAACGATCCCTACGTAACCAGTCATCCATATTATCAAATAAATCCTTGTCGTCTTTGGTAAATTTACCAAGAGCTATAGTCATAGTTATCCTCCTATTCAACTACGTTGACCATTTCCGAGCACCGCATAGCATTTTTGGGACATCTGAATATTTTTATCATTGCGATATGATTTATCTTGGATCGCCCCTTCCCATCGGTTTCGAAGATCCAATTTTTTTGGAAATATTTGAATGATTGGTCCATAAATGGTATAAAGAAATCCATGAACTTACTTGGATTCTTCTTTTGAGAACTTATCCTTGCATTCTGAATAGCTAATACCCATTTCATTGGATAGATCCATCCATATAAAAAAAAATGTTCTCAGACTTATTTCCTCATTTTCATTAGTATTATATAATGATAATGAAAATGAATTATTGCACTTTTATATCTTTTTCTCTCTATCTAATTTGAATATCATATATCATAATAGCGACTTTAGCCATTCTTACATGAGTCAGATCCACTTTAGTTTCCTTGGTTGTCATAAAAAAAAATAATAATATTTTAGGATTTCAGAATTGATAGCTCTTTTTTTTATTTCTTTTTAGATTTGATAACTTTAGTATAGAGTATAATATATAATTCAAATAATTAAATATAAACAAAAGTTAAACTTTTATTTCAAATCTAAAAAAATGCAATAATATTCATGATCAGGATAAGATATTATCCATTTATTTATTCTTATTACATAAAAAAAGACTTAAATGAGCCCCTTAGCGGATTTGAACCGATGACTTACGCCTTACCATGGTGTTACTCTACCACTGAGTTAAAGGGGCGTATTCCATTGAATTCCTAATATATTAAGAAAATCCAGAAAATAGACATCTATAAAAGATATATAGCTAGTCTATTGATATGAAATTTCATATTATGAATTTCAATAATAATGTAGATTCGGATAGATATGAATATTTCATATTATAAGAATCTTAATTGAATTACATGGAATAAAGAAAGACATCGGAGCCTACATTTTGAAATAGAACTACTTATTGGGCGGAGTAGATTTTAAAAATTGATCCAAAAATAGGAAAATACTAGATTTCTAATCGGGGTTCTAATCAAAGATTGCTTAATGGGAAATCAAAAAATTGAAAAACATAAATGATTAGAAAGGCAAAGGTCCGTTAGAATATTTAAATATTTTACATCTATTGACAATTTAAAAAAAAAGGTTCCTGCTATCACATCATAGTATGAGGTTGGTTGAACAAGTGGGCCCCCATCGTCTAGTGGTTTAGGACATCTCTCTTTCAAGGAGGCAGCGGGGATTCGAATTCCCCTGGGGGTAGGGTACTTTGAAAGGAAGCTTCTAATGGATTCATTACAAAGTTGAGTAGTAATTTGGTTTTTCCTGGGTCGATGCCCGAGTGGTTAATGGGGACGGACTGTAAATTCGTTGGCAATATGTCTACGCTGGTTCAAATCCAGCTCGGCCCAATCATTCGCAAATCCCAATAAGAAAAAAGAACCTGGACTTGAAAAATATCTCAGAACTATACTGATAGATAGGTCAAAAAATAAAAATTTTGACTGGATTCCTTATTTGACGGGGATTGTAGTTCAATTGGTCAGAGCACCGCCCTGTCAAGGCGGAAGCTGCGGGTTCGAGCCCCGTCAGTCCCGATGGATCCAAAGAATAAATCAATAAGGTGACTGTTTCTCATTTTTATCTTGAAGTTTTATATGGGATTAAATCCCAAGTTATTGCGAAGTAAAAAAACAACGAGATTATGGAAGTCAATATTCTTGCATTTATTGCTACGGCCTTATTGATTTTAGTTCCTACCGCCCTTCTACTTATCATTTACGTAAAAACTGTCAATAGAAATAATTAATTAGTATTTAATCTATCTTAAAATAAACTTGTCTTCTGGGTTAGATCATTATATTATTAGATAATCTTATCAGAATAAATTCAAAAATAAAAATTCTATTACAAATTTTTGAAGGTTTTAATTTTAATAAAAAGAACTGGCTCAAATCAGCACTAAAGCAGGAGACTCATAGAATAGACTAATAGTAATAGATAATATGTTAAGAAAGTACAAAATAAAGGAAGTATGCTAAATTAATCAATAGATGACTCCTTTTTTTTTAACCTAAACTATCTATTAACTATTAGCGTTCTTTTTGCTTGAATAATATGTTTTATTGAAAGATTGAAAGAGCAGAATGGATTATTCACATGTTCTGAAACATTTTATAAAAAAATGAATACATTTTTATTTACGCAACATTCATTTAGTAGAACCTCTATAGTCCACTCCTTCCCCATATTACTAGTGAAAGAGAAAAGGTAAAAACTACCATTAAAGCAGCCCAAGCAAGACTTATTATATCGATATTCATTATGTCCTCTATCATTATAACTAGTTGATTTTTACTAAGTTCCTCATCAATTATAAGAAATTCATAAGAATAGCGGAATCCCCCGCGCAGAGTACACATAAAAAAGGAAAAAAGGGATTATGATTATGGAAGATGACCCAAAAAGAAAATGCAAAATATGCGAAACTGCAAAAGGATCTGGCCTTATTTTCCTCATTTAAGAAAAATAGCAATCCATATACAAATATAAAAATCGCTAATTCTCATTCCGATCTAATCTGGCATCCTCCATATGATTATATAGGAGCTAGGAAACGACGGGATAGAGGTTATTCTGTTTACGATCAAAAAGGGTTTGAACATAATAATTCAAACAAGTAGTATGCGGAATTGTCCTTTTCCTTTATAGGAATCCTATGAACAACAAGATATTTCAAATTCTTTATAATCAGGCGACACCCGGATTTGAACTGGGGAAAAAAGGATTTGCAGTCCCTCGCCTTACCACTCGGCCATGTCGCCAAAAGGATACAAAAACTTTGGGAACGACTTTTTTGATTGTACTTGTTTCTTTCTTTTCTCCTAAAAAAATACTGTGAGTGTTTATTCCACTTTATTTTTTTTTTTTATTTTATTTGAGCCATCTAACTACAAATATAAAAAATATAAAAAAGTGTCTTTTAGTTGAATCAAAATCTTTTTTCTAAGATACTATAAAAAAGATTTTCAAATTATTTTTTTTTATTATCTATGAAATTCTTAGAAATTCCTAAATCTTTTTTATAGTTCAGATATGGAGTTCGATACAATTTCATGTGATTCAGTAAAAACAATAGAAATTTCCTCATTAAGAAATCATCTATTTTCTTAGCTATTAGATGAAGGATTCATAAAGTTTCATAAAATCAATATAAATAATAATAAAGAAAATAAAAAGGAATTAAAAAAAAAAATGCTTGTAGATGTAAAAAAGGGCGGAGTTACTACAATCCCTGGATTGAATCAGATACAATTTGAAGGATTTTCTAGGTTTATTGATCAAGGTTTAATGGAAGAACTTTCTAAGTTTCAAAAAATTGAAGATCTAGATCACGAAATCCAGTTTCATTTATTTGTGGAAACATCTCAATTGGTAGAACCGTTGATCAAGGAAAGAGATGCTGTGTATGACTCACTAACATATTCTTCTGAATTCTATGTATTGGCAGGATTAATTTGGAGAGCAAGTAAGGATCGATCTACACGTATGCAAGAACAAATCATTTTTCTTGGCAGCATTCCTCTAATGAATTCCCTGGGAAGTTTTATAGTAAATGGAATCTATAGAATTGTGATCAATCAAATACTACAAAGCCCTGGCATTTATTATCGGTCAGAATTGGACCATAACGGAATTTTGGTTTACACCGGCACAATAATATCAGATTGGGGAGGAAGATTAGAATTAGAAATTGATAGAAAAGCAAGAATATGGGCTCGTGTGAGTAGGAAAAAAAAAATATCGATTTTAGTGCTATCATCAGCTATGGGATTAGATCTAAGAGAAGTTATAGATAATGCCTGTTATCCTGAAATTTTTTTATCTTTTCTGAGTGATAAGGATACAAAAAAAATTGGTTCAAAAGAAAACGCGATTTTGGAGTTTTATAAAAAATTCGCTTGCGTAGGCGGTGATCCGTTAGGGTATGAATACTTATGTAAGGAATTACAAAAAAAATTTTTTCACCAAAGATGTGAATTAGGACGGCTTGGTCGACGAAATATGAACCGAAGACTTAATCTTGATATACCCCAGAATAATACTTTTTTGGTACCACGAGATATATTAGCAGCCGCCGATCATTTGATTGGACTCAAATTTGGAATGGGTACACTTGATGATATGAATCATTTGCAAAATAAACGTATTCGGTCTGTAGCGGATCTTTTACAAGATCAATTCGGATTAGCTCTCGTTCGTTTCGAAAATGTCGTTAAAACCACTATATGTGAAGCAATTCGTCATAAATTAATACCCACTCCTCAGAATTTGGTAACTTCAACTCCCTTAACAACTACGTATGAATCTTTTTTCGGGTTACACCCATTATCTCAAGTTTTAGATCAAACCAATCCATTGACACAAATAGTTCATGCAAGAAAATTTAGTTATTTAGGACCTGGAGGGCTGACAGGACGCACTGCTAGTTTTCGGATCCGAGATATTCACCCTAGCCACTATGGGCGTATTTGCCCTATTGACACATCAGAAGGAAGCAATGTTGGGCTTATTGGATCCTTAGCAATTCATGCGAGGATTGGACGTTGGGGATCTCTAGAAAGTCCACTTTTTGAAATTTCTGAGCGATCAACAAGGGTACGGATGGTTTACTTATCACCGGGTAGAGATGAATACTATATGGTAACGACAGGAAATTCTTTGGCCTTGAATCAGAATATTCAAGAAGATCAGGTTGTTCCAGCTAGATACTGTCAAGAATTCCTTACTATTGCATGGGAGCAAGTTCATCTTCGAAGTATTTTTTCCTTCCAATATTTTTCTATTGGAGCTTCCCTCATTCCTTTTATCGAACATAATGATGCGAATCGAGCCTTAATGAGTTCTAATATGCAACGGCAAGCAGTTCCCCTTGCTCGATCCGAGAAATGCATTGTTGGAACAGGGATAGAACACCACGCAGCTCTCGATTCAGGGTCTCTTGTTCTAGCCGCCCACATGGGAAAGGTTGTTTATACAGATACTGACAATATATTTGTATCGGTCTCTGGCCTTGGAAAGATTCTAAGCATTCCATTAGTTGTGTATCAACGTTCAAACAAAAATACGTGTATGCATCAAAAACCTCAGGTTGAACCGGGGCAATTTATTAAAAAGGGACAAGTTTTAGCGGAAGGTGCTGCTACGGTTGAAGGCGAACTTGCTCTCGGAAAAACTTTATTGGTAGCTTATATGCCGTGGGAGGGTTATAATTTTGAGGATGCAGTCCTCATTAGCGAACGCTTGGTATATGAAGAGATTTATACTTCTTTGCACATAAGGAAATTTGAAATTAAAACTAATGTGACAAGCCAAGGCCCTGAACAAGTCACTAAAGAGATACCTCATTTAGAAGCCCATTTAATTCGCAATTTAGATATAAATGGAATTATAATGCAGGGATCTTGGGTACAGCCAGGGGATGTTTTAGTAGGTAAATTAACACCTCACGTGGTGAAAGAATCGTCGTATGCACCGGAAGATAGATTATTACGAGCCATACTTGGTATTCAGGTATCTACGTCAAAAGAAACTTGTCTCAAAGTCCCTATAGGTGGGATGGGTCGGGTTATTGATGTAAGGTGGATACAGAAGAAAGGGCTTTACAATTCTAATCTGGAAAAGATTCAGGTATATGTTTTACAGAAACGTGAAATAAAAGTGGGCGATAAAGTAGCTGGAAGGCACGGAAATAAAGGTATCATTTCAAAAATTTTGCCTAAACAAGATATGCCCTATTTACAAGATGGAAGAGCGATTGATCTGGTATTTAACCCATTAGGAGTACCTTCAAGAATGAATGTAGGACAGATTTTTGAATGTTCACTGGGGCTAGCAGGGAGTTTGCTAGATAGACATTATAGAATCGCACCTTTTGATGAGAGATACGAACAAGAAGCTTCGAGAAAAATAGTATTTTCTCAATTACATGAAG